TTAAACTCATTTGTGCACACTTTCCACGGAATAATCTCTATTTGTTACAGATTGAGAATTATTTCTTGGGCCCCATGTTGTTTTTAAATTTAATTTCTTTTTGCACGAGCATTATAAATATAAGATTTTCTGAGTGCTGTGGAAAATGACATTTAAAACAAATGTTAGCCTAGCTTATTGTTATGTCTGCATTAACACAACTTCATCGCACAGAGTTCAACAGTGAAATTGTGTTTCAACCAGGCCATGATGTCACTTTTCCAACTTCTTAAAGAGAGGATCAACTATAAATTGTTCACAGTTGCATGACATTAAATGTGGAATCATAGCATTAATTTTTGGAAGAAAATGGAAAGTATTATTTTCCAGTTGACACTTAGCTAAATCTCTACCTGAAGGAGGTGTTCCTTTAGGATCATGAACAGTTAACTTGTGTAATTGGAAATGTGAAAAAAAGGTACTTTATTTAAATATCAAGGAACAGGTCAATCTTAAAGTTTGTGAAAAATATTTTGTCCATTAATTAAATTGACCATCCAAATGATGTTTTTGTCATGTAGTTGCAAAAATACTTTTTGGAAAAGTATACAATTTATTATGCATATGTAATTTAGGAACATTTAAATCTTAATCTAGTTTCACAGTTGTGGTTTAAGTAAGTTAACATTATCTGTTGTAAAACCAGCACTCACCTTCTCGGCTTAAATGAGGACCAAATGTGGGAATAAATTGATATGTTTCCACTTAATGTGTAAATGAGTTTGTAGGTAATCTGTGGTTATAAACATTTTAATAAAGTAATTCTAAGTAAGCGGTTACTTTGCCTTGCTAGAGATTACTCAAGAGTATGTGTTAGTATTCATTTGAAATGGCAGTTTTAAGCCTTGAATTAATTTTTCAAGAATGAGTTGTGTTGCAACATAAACTAAAAAGGGTTAAAAAAATCCTCAGTGGGTGTTTCTTTTTCTATTGACCTCTGAAAGAACAATTGTCACATGAATGTTTATTCCAATTTTATCACAATGTGTACAATGGAAGCAAAAATAACAACACAAATCCATGCCCGTTTCATCATTATGTCTCGTGTTAATACTTCCTTTTAGACAGTATAACGTAACATTCCTTGACCTTTTCTGACGTCCACAATTTTCAGTCTGACATTAACAGTGTAATTGTGTTTAAGAAATTTAAATTTGTCTTCCCAACTGGGGAAGGAAGGTATCAAAGTTATTTCATAATTTAACCATATTCACAAGGGTAACTGATTCAACTTTGTTTTATTTTGTGAGGATTAGTTAGCGCTAGTTAATGAGGGGCGGCGTCGTGCACCAACGTACGTCATCGTTTTATACTGCTATATGTCTTGCTCATAAATGAAAGAAAATAAGTCAATCCTTATCATGAACAACTAATAACACCTTTATGCCAACTATCGCGTAAGGTGTAAGGCAGTCTTTTCATTACTAGATTGTTGAAAATATGACAGTCAACTTCAAATTAACGAAATTATCTTGGAAGTAACTCCTTAAAATAAAGGCCTTACCTTGAGCTTCCACAGCACTTGTTTGACTTTATAGGGGGAGATGAAAAAAAAAAAAAGTAAAATAAATGTGTTACATTTCATCTGCTGTCAATAAGTCTCTGGCTCTGAGAACGGTAATCAGGCCGGATTCCGGCTGTATTCAGGCTCTGTGAGGCTCCAAATTTTCACACGCCGGTGGTTCATTCTTCGCAATCTCACAGGTTATTCCGGGCGACAGAAACGAAGAATACTTACTCTCTTTGAGCTTCTTGATATTGGCAAGTAGTTTAGCATCGCTCAAAAAGACAACTTGACAATGATCTTTGATAGTGCATTGAAACAATCTTAAGCATATTCTCAGCACTACAAAAGAACAAACTGTAGGGTTGTCAGTTGAGGGATCAGTTAGCTCTCTGATCCTGGGAGTGAAAAGGTCACACAATGAAAACACTTTGAGATTATTTTGCTTTTTGTTTTTCTTCATCCAATCGAAAGCACCTCAGGGAATCAAAATTCAAACGTCTAACAACTATTCACCGAAGTGGAGGTGGCTGGTGGTTGATGTTTATTCCTGCAACGATTAGAATTATATGTTCGGGGGCAAATCCAGCACGAGTTGCTCGAAGGTGGATGGCAAAGAATATTCCGTATTTGAGTAGCCAATCAGAGCACGCATTCATATTCTTTTGCTATATTATCTCATTATTTTTGTATATGCTGAAATAGCTATTCACCTCAGCTCGGTAATATCCACCAATAGCCAGCGACACCGACCTGAGTAGTTGTTAATTATTCGATGTTTATCAGCACTAAACATAATTATATGCGAAACATGTATTGCCAACTCTTAAGAGGCCTTTTGGTTGGGGATTAGCTGAACTTCCAAACTGCAACTGTGAATTCACACTTGTTTAATGGCTTGGATTGTAGTACAACTTGTTGGGCTTAACTTTATGACTCAACTGTTCAGTTGGTAACCGCTCCAATGCCTACTTGGATGTTGCTCGCGATATTTCAAAGTGACCAGGCTAGAACTGACAGGAGATTGGCAGTGGGTCATCAAATTGTCACCTGTTCTTAATTTATGCCTATGTTATGCCTTCAGCACTGGTTGTAACCAATTGCGTTTGTGCAAAGAGATGATCAGCATATCGACCTAAGATCAAATGTACATTGTCAAATCTTCTTCATGTTAAAAGTTTCGTTGTCCTTCGTGGGTTTCCTGGCCAAAATAAACCAATGTGAGCAATGTAAGACTTACTAGATACAACTTTAACGAAATTCTTTGAACTGTAACATTAATGCGTGTACAGAGACACAGTTAAAAGGTAATTGTCCAATAACTTATAACAAGAGTAAACAGTTCGTATTTGGAGAAGGCCCTACCGATGATTACGTCTAATTTCCATAAATGGACTGGAAACAAGTAAGTGATTCCAGTCACACTAACAGAATATCAATTCACAAGCGAAGAAACAATAGCCATAATTGTTATTAGTTGTAGAAAATTGGTTTGGCATGGCTTCAGTACAAGTAGCAAAAAAGAAAAAAACCAAACAAAACATCGGATCATGGTACTAATTCAGTGATTCTAAACATTCCTGGAAGAAATGCCTTGTGAAAGGCTAGGATTAGGTCACAATGGTGAAGACCGAAAAGGATGACTCAGTTTCCGAATTAAAAGCACCTCCAAAAAGGGAAGATTGTACTTAAAAAACAAATCAGTTTCAGTATATGTGTATGAATTCGAAGTAGGTTATTTCCTTTTGTGCTAAAACCATACCAGAAAGTAATATCTAAATTACTGCAATTAAATAAGATATTCCATGTGTATATACTTAAAAGCAAATCCCGAATTTAAGACAATCTATTTGAAATAATACTTATACATTTGCACTCTAAAATAAACATTAACAATCATTCAACTACTTGTTTGATATCAACAATCAACTTATGCAACACCTGCCTATTAAAACGGTATACGAGAATGTTCTAAATAATTTTGAAAATACCGATCCAAATTGAATTATAATAAGTCAAAATTAGTTTAACGGATCCCATAATCTTATTCGTTAAAATTATGCAAAGTTTGGCTCCCCATCCCTGATTTCGAATCTGCTGAGCTGCAACGTCTGCACGGAAGGAGAAGCTTTCAAAGTTATTTATTATTCCCGACTGAAAAATGTGAACTTCTATTTACCTGCCCGAATTTAGGACTGGTCTCTTTCTGTATCGAACAGTGAACTAAAACTAACCACACTCAAAGACTACTGTGGCTTCAAAGATTTCCTTACTGGAAATGTGACATCCCACAACTGCTTTGTACAGAGACCTGAGTTTAAAAAGAGCCAGGTATTTTATCTAACCTAGTGAATGAAGTTGCATCAAGTCTATTAACGCAACTAAAGAGCTCCAAAAAAAAAATTCCTTAAGAGGGGGTGCGCCGCGGCCCCCGACCTCCCCACCTTGCCGCCTGGGTAGCGTTCATATTTTTAAAACCTAAACTCTTAGTCTTTAATTTAAAACCAATATACCAATATATCTATGCGGTTAAATCATATGTACTTAATCAAGTCGATTAACATATTTGATAAGTTGCAAAATATAAAATCAAACTGGTAACTATGGTTTTTACGATTTGGTACACAGTGAGCGAATTAAAGAATTCCGTTAGCTAGCATTTATTTTCGCTACGAAAAGAGATTCAGACTATTTCCAAACTCCTTAATTTGGTTTATTTCTTACTGTTTGAAATGCAAAACAGTACCGTCCATCGCAATGAAAGGGTTTGTCATGACAAGATCCACTCCCATATTGTTCTTAGCTGACGGCCAAGTACAATTCTAGTATGCAGTCATCTACGAGCAGCAACCATCTGTGGGTAGAAAAAGAACAAAACCATTGAAAACCTCTTGTATTTTTACAATTACAGGAAATCACGATACAGTTTGTTAAATACTCTGACTGTCCTCTTTACTTTTTTCTTTTTTAATAAGTGTTTTTATGTTGGCTCAAGTAATTTTTCTACAGCATATACAGTGGCGAGGAAAGTCAACAATTTCCATCCACAATGTCTAAAGCTTCTAACAGACTGCGCTGTGATATCTTCATTACGGGAACTCGATGTAAAGAATAGAGTACAGAACTCTGTTATCACCTTATTAGAGTTAGTCAGGTTAGTATCCAGCAGAGAAGTCTTCAACGCCAATTATTCTGAAATCGCAACCACCTTACAGCAGATCATATTCTGAAGCAAAGTCAAATAATGGCAGCTGCGAATCTCATGTGAAACAGTCCAAAAATATGACTTCTTTTGCTCAAAATGGACTAAAATTTGGGAGGGAACATGAGAGAGTCGTATCGCAATGGAAAATGCAAATGAATTAAGGGTGTAAAACTGACGCTAATAGGGACTGAACGAAGTTTAAGAACGTTAAAGGAAAACATCAAGACAAGTTATATTTACATTGGGCGGCAACTAGACTAAATCAGTTCCACTCAATTCCAGAGTGACATCATCCCCAATGAGAACAAATGGTGCCCAGCACTTTACTTCGCTGAACTCTCCAGACTCCCTCATACATTTCATAGCTTGATTAAGAGCTTCACTGACCCTCCTCCCTTTAACTAACTCTTTATAAAAATGTTTCATGAACTGGAAAGTGGCCTCGTCATCAACCGCCCACAGGGATACCACAACGGAACGAGACCCAGCACCTAAAAATGCTCGAGCAATGCCAACTACCCCCTCAGCCTTTATTTCTCCATCAGCGCTATGACAGCAACTCAATACAACCAGTCTAGCCCGCAGCGTAGCTGCCAACACATCCGCCATCGTCAATAAAAAGTCTTTCTCCTCAGGATGATGAGATTCCCGAGCAGGGTTTGGGGCCAAAGCAATTTCTCCTGTTCCCATTTTGCCATGTGCGGCGATGTGCACTAAAGCAACCGTGGATAGTCGCTCCAAGACCTCTCCTTTAGTCGCCTCTTCTCCGATGAGAGGATGGGTTCCTAGGATTCTTCCAATCATCTCTACTTCTTTCTTCGCATATGGCAGCTCACACAACTTTTTCCCTTTATAGAGAACTTCCTCTACGTACGGATCTCCCACGAGAAGGGTACCTGTCTTATTGTGGAAGTCAGCTGGACAGTCAGTAATTAATTTCAAAGTAGTCAAGGACGGAATCAATCTGATCCTCAGAGACTCACACAGATACTCCTCCTTTGGGTTCATCAGTGCTGCATAGGGTAACAAACACAATGGACCTTCCGGAACAAGAATGAGGTCATCTCCATGGACCAGGTCAGCAATAGGAGCAATTATAAGGTCAAAAAACCTCTTTAAGCTCTCCTTTGATGAAACAGGCCGAGAAACTCTGACAGGGGCCCTTTCAGTCGTGCGCCCCGCCTCGCATGACTCATCAAGCGAGCGATTTTCGATTTTGACGCCACTAGGAAGATCAATTTCGTCCAATTTCGTCCGGTGTAGAGTCGAAAGGAAGGTTCTCACGTCTTCTTCTAAAACATCTCCCACCTCTCTTCTCCTCAAGGTGACTTCTTCGTCTTTCCTTATAACCCAGAAAATGATTTCTTGTTCATTGAGAGCTATGAAAACTGTTGTCGAAGGAATGGATCTAGGAGAGGGACCAGTTGACACTTCTGAGGAATGAGACCAAGAGTATACCTCTTGACACCCATAATTTTCTTCCATGAGATCTTTTAGAGCCTGCGCCCGTCCATCCTCAGCAACACGCAAGGCATCATTAAATTCACCTTGGCTTAAATGCAGGCGCCACAAACTATTGTATACACTATTATACGTATCGCGGTAGCTAATTTTCCACTCGTCTTTAAACCGGAGATGAGCCCTAATTTCATTGAGCTTTGACAAACTGGAAATAAAGCAGTCAAGGGCATTCGAAAACGATCCTCGATCTTTAGACGTATCATTAAGTAGAAAGTACGTATGGCCAAGATTTCCATAAGCCCGTCCTTCTCCAGCTTTATCCCCCACCTCTTTTGCAATTTGTAGGTCACACTCATGGTACTCGATTGCTTTATGAAAATCGCCTAAGCTCTGATAGGCATTGCCAAGATTTCCATAAGCCCCTCCTTCTCCAGCTTTATCTCCCACTTCTTTTGCAATTTGTAGGTCACACTCATGGTACTCGATTGCCTTATGAAAATCGCCTAAGCTGTCATAGGCATTGCCAAGATTTCCATAAGCCTGTCCTTCTCCAGCTTTATCCCCCACCTCTTTTGCAATTTGTAGGTCACACTCATGGTACTCGATTGCTTTATGAAAATCGCCTAAGCTCTGATAGGCATTGCCAAGATTTCCATAAGCCCCTCCTTCTCCAGCTTTATCTCCCACTTCTTTTGCAATTTGTAGGTGACACTCATGGTACTCGATTGCCTTATGAAAATCGCCTAACCTGCGATAGGCATTGCCAAGATTTCCATAAGCCCCTCCTTCTCCAGCTTTATCCCCCACCTCTTTTGCAATTTGTAGAAGACGCTCATGGTACTCCATTGCCTTATGAAAATCGCCTAAGCTGTCATAGGCATTGCCAAGACTTCCATAAGCCCGTCCTTCTCCAGCTTTATCCCCCACCTCTTTTGCAATTTGTAGATGACGCTCATGGTACTCGATTGCCTTATGAAAATCGCCTAAGCTGTGATAGGCATTGCCAAGATTTCCATAAGCCCCTCCTTCTCCAGCTTTATCCCCCACCTCTTTTGCAATTTGTAGATGCCGCTCATGGTACTCGATTGCCTTATGAAAATCGCCTAAGCTCCGATAGGCATTGCCAAAACTTCCATAAGCCCCTCCTTCTCCAGCTTTATCCCCCACCTCTTTTGCAATTTGTAGATGCCGCTCATGGTACTCGATTGCCTTATGAAAATCGCCTAAGCTGTCATAGGCATTGCCAAGATTTCCATAAGCCCCTCCTTCTCCAGCTTTATCCCCCACTTCTTTTGCAATTTGTAGGTGACACTCATGGTACTCGATTGCCTTTTGAAAATTGCCTAAGCTACGATAGGCTTTGCCAAGATTTCCATAAGCCCCTCCTTCTCCAGCTTTATCCCCCACCTCTTTTGCAATTTGTAGGTGACACTCATGGTACTCGATTGCTTTATAAAAATCACCTAAGCTGTGATAGGCATTGCCAAGATTTCCATAAGCCCGTCCTTCTCCAGCTTTATCCCCCACTTCTTTTGCAATTTGTAGAAGACGCTCATGGTACTCGATTGCCTTATGAAAATCGCCTAAGCTGTGATAGGCATTGCCAAGATTTCCATAAGCCCGTCCTTCTCCAGCTTTATCCCCCACTTCTTTTGCAATTTGTAGGTCACACTCATGGTACTCGATTGCTTTATGTAAATCACCTAAGCTGTGATAGGCATTGCCAAGATTTCCATAAGCCCCTCCTTCTCCAGCTTTATCTCCCACTTCTTTTGCAATTTGTAGAAGACGCTCATGGTACTCGATTGCCTTATGAAAATCGCCTAAGCTGTGATAGGCATTGCCAAGATTTCCATAAGCCCCTCCTTCTCCAGCTTTATCCCCCACTTCTTTTGCAATTTGTAGGTGACACTCATGGTACTCGATTGCTTTATGAAAATCGCCTAAGCTCTGATAGGCATTGCCAAGATTTCCATAAGCCCCTCCTTCTCCAGCTTTATCCCCCACTTCTTTTGCAATTTGTAGGTCACACTCATGGTACTCGATTGCCTTATGAAAATCGCCTAAGCTGTCATAGGCATTGCCAAGATTTCCATAAGCCCGTCCTTCTCCAGCTTTATCCCCCACCTCTTTTGCAATTTGTAGGTGACACTCATGGTACTCGATTGCTTTATGAAAATCGCCTAAGCTCTGATAGGCATTGCCAAGACTTCCATAAGCCCCTCCTTCTCCAGCTTTATCTCCCACTTCTTTTGCAATTTGTAGAAGACGCTCATGGTACTCGATTGCCTTATGAAAATCGCCTAAGCTGTGATAGGCATCGCCAAGATTTCCATAAGCCCGTCCTTCTCCAGCTTTATTCCCCACCTCTTTTGCAATTTGTAGGTCACACTCGTGGTACTTCATTGCCTTATGAAAATCGCCTAAGCTGTGATAGGCATTGCCAAGATTTCCATAAGCCCGTCCTTCTCCAGCTTTATCCCCCACCTCTTTTGCAATTTGTAGATGACGCTCATGGTACTCGATTGCCTTATGAAAATCGCCTAAGCTGTGATAGGCATTGCCAAGATTTCCATAAGCCCCTCCTTCTCCAGCTTTATCCCCCACCTCTTTTGCAATTTGTAGATGACGCTTATGGTACTCGATTGCCTTATGAAAATCGCCTAAGCTCTGATAGGCATTGCCAAGATTTCCATAAGCCTGTCCTTCTCCAGCTTTATCCCCCACCTCTTTTGCAATTTGTAGATGACGCTCATGGTACTCGATTGCCTTATGAAAATCGCCTAAGCTCTGATAGGCATTGCCAAGATTTCCATAAGCACCTCCTTCTCCAGCTTTATCCCCCACCTCTTTTGCAATTTGTAGATGACGCTCATGGTACTCGATTGCCTTATGAAAATCGCCTAAGCTGTCATAGGCATTGCCAAGATTTCCATAAGCCCCTCCTTCTCCAGCTTTATCCCCCACTTCTTTTGCAATTTGTAGGTGACACTCATGGTACTCGATTGCCTTTTGAAAATTGCCTAAGCTACGATAGGCATTGCCAAGATTTCCATAAGCCCGTCCTTCTCCAGCTTTATCCCCCACCTCTTTTGCAATTTGTAGACGACGCTCATGGTACTCGATTGCCTTATGAAAATCGCCTAAGCTGTCATAGGCATTGCCAAGATTTCCATAAGCCTGTCCTTCTCCAGCTTTATCCCCCACCTCTTTTGCAATTTGTAGAAGACGCTCATGGTACTCCATTGCCTTATGAAAATCGCCTAAGCTGTGATAGGCATTGCCAAGATTTCCATAAGCACGTCCTTCTCCAGCTTTATCCCCCACCTCTTTTGCAATTTGTAGATGACGCTCATGGTAGTCGATTGCCTTATGAAAATTGCCTAAGCTCTGATAGGCATTGCCAAGATTTCTATAAGCCCCTCCTTCTCCAGCTTTATCCCCCACCTCTTTTGCAATTTGTAGATGATGCTCACGGTACTCGATTGCCTTATGAAAATCGCCTAAGCTCTGATAGGCATTGCCAAGATTTCCATCAGCCCGTCCTTCTCCAGCTTTATCCCCCACCTCTTTTGCAATTTGTAGATGACGCTCATGGTACTCGATTGACTTATGAAAATCGCCTAAGCTCTGATAGGCATTGCCAATATTTCCATAAGCCCTTCCTTCTCCAGCTTTATCCCCCACCTCTTTTGCAATTTGTAGACGACGCCCATGGTACTCGATTGACTTATGAAAATCGCCTAAGCTCTCATAGGCATTGCCAAGATTTCCATAAGCCCCTCCTTCTCCAGCTTTATCCCCCACTTCTTTTGCAGTTTGTAGATGACACTCATGGTACTCGATTGCCTTTTGAAAATCGCCTAAGCTACGATAGGCATTGCCAAGATTTCCATAAGCCCCTCCTTCTCCAGCTTTATCCCCCACCTCTTTTGCAATTTGTAGGTGACACTCATGGTACTCGATTGCTTTATGAAAATCGCCTAAGCTGTCATAGGCATTGCCAAGATTTCCATAAGCCCCTCCTTCTCCAGCTTTATCCCCCACCTCTTTTGCAATTTTTAGGTCACACTCATGGTACTCGATTGTCTTATGAAAATCGCTTAACCTGTGATAGGCATTGCCAAGATTTCCATAAGCCCGTCCTTCTCCAGCTTTATCCCCCACTTCTTTTGCAATTTGTAGGTCACGCTCATGGTGTTCGATTGCCTTATTAAAATCGCATAGGTTATCATAGGCAATGCGAAGATTTCCAAAAGGTTGTCTTTCGCCAGCTTTGTCGTTCGCCTTTAACTTTTCGGTACTTTGTAAATTGTCACCTACCCACCAATATGAAAAAAGATACTTTTTTCAGAGGAAATTAGAATTAATATAGTGATCATTAACCGACAAAAAGTTTCTTTCCTCTTTTGAAATTAAGATTTTCATTTGCTTTCAACTTTCCAATTTGAATTCTATTCAAATATCCCTACAATCAAATGTAGATTTTTTTTTTATTTAACCAGTGGTTTAATAGGAAACCTAAGAAATGTGTTTTTAGCTTGATAAATTGTACTGAGTCTGAACCCGGATGAATTTTATTGCAAAAGCTTTTCCAGTCCTTACCCAAGATTTATCCTGCAAATATCGAAAAAAAAACCAGATCATCTTATCGGGATATCCTTCTCTTCAAGTTGTCTTAAGGCTGGTCTACATTAGCAACGGAATCGCAGTCCCAGTCGGAGTCGTTGGAGCACTTCCGACTGAGTGAAAACTAAAAATCGGTGTCATGAGCGGAGTCATAAGCTCAACAGAATCAAAGTACAGGATCAGAGTCGGAAAAATGAGAATGTTTTCGTCCGATTCCGCTTTGAACGGTGAAAAGTCAATTGTTGGAGTTGAAAACAGAACTGGAAGATCAAACAAGTTTGATTTCAGCTTGATCGTACTGCTCTGCATTTCTCAATAACGACTTCGACTCCGTTGTAGATGAAGACCAGCCTTTAGGTTATGCCTTATTATCGGCCGTTAAGCTATGCTCACGGGAGATTTATATTGAAGTGAAAAACTTATATTAAAATCGCCCGTCGCAGTTGGAGGATCATTCTTAAGAAATGTTTCGCCCCCCCCTTCCTACATTCCACAGAGCACCATAACCTAAACAAACATATCCTAACATAGGTCTCAATAGACCCGAAGGCCTTCAATAGGTTGAAATGATGAAGGCAGTGAGAAACAGAAGGCGGTCAGGTCATCGTGGAGGTGCAACACTTGGATCGTTTTCCTTGGAATACTGCACGAACCTTAACGCAACTTCTGAACAGGGAATAGGTTCATTTATCTTCTACCCCATTCACATCAACAAAACATGTTCAGTTAAACTTTATTTTATCTAATTCGTTGCAGACGGATATACGTAAAAAAAATTAAACAAATGAATTCAAATTTAATCTTTATAAAAAAAATGAGTGTTTTCAAGTATTTTCAATTCCTCCGCCCTTATAAAGGACTAAAAGCATTCGTTTAAATGTGTGAAATGAATTCATATTTTTAGTTTCCGTTGACAATTCGTTCAAGTGCACCAGAGTAAAAGAGATATTTTAAAAAGTTTTGACCGATGCATCCGGCTGGTGACCATAAGATTCATGTTTCCATTTCGAAAATTACAGATTTAAGTTCATTTCACAAATTACAGATTTTAACTTCATTTCGTTTCGCAAACTATAGTGTGCCCCCGCTACGAATCATCAAGACATAAAACAACGGTTAAATGATGACATCACAACAACTAAGGCAAGGCTGCATGCGGACGCCGGACGAGAGCTCTGGATTGTTAGAAAAGTGATACGTCCGGGCAATCAAAACTTTTGGTACTAGGAATTTGCCTTCACTTGTTTGTAATGTCTCCTTTAACAGTTTTTACAGTCTTTGGCAGAAGATGCTTGCTGGATCTGCCTCATTTCTGCAGCTTTCTTGTTTAAATCAAACAGTTTTGTTTTTTTTCTCCTATGCCGCCGTTACTTATCTGAATGCCTCTCTCCCACAAATAATTTTTCATTCTCCCACGCTGAATTTTCGAGAAATTTCACCATAGCACTTATTTGATCTTAATTCTTTCAGGTTAATTTCTACCTTCAGAGGCCAGAAAAGTCGTTTTTTCTTCTATGTGACTTAACTGACTTCAAACATTGTACCTAGCGTTTCCGAGAAAAAAGGTTTTCAAATCTCCAAAAGCACCTGAGTTATTTAGGAAAAGGTAATTTGGAATAAAAGTTAATGAATCAGGAAGGTGTTATAATCTCGTACCTGGGCGACTCTCCTAAGAGAATTTTCGCGGCAATCGCTCATCTCTTTTTCATTTTATTTGCACATTTTGTTTACATCGCGCACTTGACAAAATTCACAAAAGAAAGCTCGTTGCTTATGGAAAAATCTTTGCTCATGGAAATATCAAAAGCAGAAGAAAATCCCTGGTTAAAAAAAAAGAAACAGAAAAACAGGCCCTAAGAGGAAATAAAGAGTACCATTCTGTCAAGAAAAGAAAAAAAGATCTTCAGTGAAAGCGACTGGTAGTGGCGAAGCTCCACGCTGGCGTCCAGATCTTGAACAAAGGAGTCGCGTCAAAACAAAATTTGCCATACATAAATTTCAAATCGAGGTTTCCTACTACTCATGCAAGTAACCGGCCTTGATACATTCACATTAACAGTCGCTTTGAATCGTAATTTTGAAAGCTGTCTATCGATTCGTTGTCTTGGTTCTCAACACAATTTCCGGTTTTTCCATTTTAGCGTGTGGTTTTTTCTTTGCCTTTGGGAACTTTGCCCATTCTTGTGCCACAATGCTCAAATGAAGGTATGTAGTGACCGATTTTCGTCAAATTTCGCCGCAACATTCTAGGAATAATGAAAAATGAAAGTGTGTCGGAAAATTTTGATATGTGAAATATTTGTCCCGTGGCGTCCATTTACGCAACACACCTCGCATATTTTTAGCTACTCCGACTTAATATGTCGTTAACTGGACAACCAATAAGAATATCGAAAAGGGCTGACAAATTTTGTTTATTGATGCCTTGTGATTAAGACTGTGCACTCATGTTGCTAAGCGTCGAAAAAACCTGGATCGGATCACGGATCGGATCACAGATCATGCAACCTATTGTATATTATTTAGCACACGCGAGAGAAGAGGCAAATAACGAGGTGAGGAGTAGGACTGTTTTAGAGAAGACTACCTGTTAGAGACTGTGCGATAAGTTAATTGTTCTTAATTTGATTGACATTTACAGGCGATTTCGTTTCTCTATACATAATCAAACAAACATGTATGCGGCACGTGTTTCATCGACCCATATATGGCATTGATCCACATGCTTACTACGGGACGTTTAGTTTGGGTTTCTTTCGAATAAGCTAAGAGCTGTGAGTGGGAGTTCACCAAAGTGTCGTGGTAAAATCGCTAAAACAAGTGAATAAACTGTGACTTAACAAGGAAGCTTGGTACAGCTTTTCCACGTTTTCGACATACTGAAGTGCACATAAGCGATTTATGAAGTCCATGTCATATACATTAATAATTTTATTTTCTAGCATGAATTTGTTAATTTCCTCTTTACCTGAATTGCATTTTTTATACTCTAAGCGACCTAAATTCCACAAGTATATTGAACTAATGATCAAAGAGATAACATAATAATATAATAAATACTAATATTAAATATTATACTGATAATAAAGCCACAGGACTTGATGGAATCGGAATTAAACCCTTAAAGAAAGCTTTGAATGCTACCGCTCCTTCTCTAACCCACATCTACAATGCTAGTATTGCAAGTGGTTCTATCCCGGACAACTTCAAGAGAGCGAAGCTGACTCCTGTCCACAAGAACAACTCAATCCATGATAGAAACAACTATCGCCCCATTTCCATATTGCTAATATCTAAACCCCTAGAGAGGCATGTTGCGCGATCATACCTTGATTACTTAACATCGAATACGCTCTTACATAGTAAACAGTCAGCATATCGCCCGTATCATTCTTGTGAAACAGCACTTTTGAGTTTTACTGACAACTGGCTCAAAGCTATATGGGCTCGAAAGAACTTGTCGGCGCGGTACTACTGGACCTTAGTAAAGCTTTTGATCTGGTAGATCACAGCTTACTTTTATCAAAGATCAGTATGTACCACACTGATAATACATCTCTGCGGTGGTTTGAGTCTTACCTACACGATCGAACACAGCGATGTTGTATCAATGGATCATTGTCTGACGCACTACCAATTACTCGAGGCGTTCCACAAGGTTCTATTTTGGGTCCCATCCTTTTCTTGTTATATATCAATGACCTTCCACTTGCAATACCTGATTGCAATGTGGATATTTACGCCGATGACACTACATTATGGATGGCAAATTCTAATCCCTTGCATATCTAACACGGACTTCAGGGAAGTCTCAACAAAGCGAATCACTGGTTCTTGCTAAACAAGATGGTCCCAAACGCAAAGAAAACAAAACAGCTACTTCTTGGAACCAAGCAAAAACTTTCCTACCGCGCAGACCCATCGCTTAACCTTTCGTTGCGAGGCATTGAAATCTAAGAGGCCGTGAACGAAAAGCTGCTTGGTGTGTAGACAAGCATCTTAATTGGAATAGCCATATAGATTACATGATCACTAAATTAAATTTTAGGGTAAATCTTCTTAAAAGAGCCAGGAAGTACCTGAATTTATCACTTAGGAATTTGCTATACAACGCTTTAATTAAACCAATGTTCGAATATTGTTGTTAAATGTGGGGAAACACTAAGATTGATAATTTACAAAGGCTCCTCATAATTCAAAAACGTTGTGCCAGGGTAACTTTAAATGCAGGCACTGAAAGATCAGTTGGCCTTTTTAAGAGATTAGGTTGGATTCCCATTAGTGACATAATAGAGCAAAGGAAATTGTGCATTATGTATAACATTATCCATGAGACATGTCCTGATTACTTTAATCATTATATTCGTTATGTTAAGAATAGACATCGTTACACAACTCGGGCGTCAACTAATATGGACTTATCTACACCTTTCTTTAGCACTGTGATCGGCAAACGTTCATTCCTTGCAAGTGGCACTAGATTATGGAACAACCTAGACAGTGCCAGCAGGGGTCTCACTTCCCTTTGTAAATTTAAAAGTCAACTATATAAGAAATATATAGATCGGATCTCCAGAGTTGATAATTTTACT